ATATTAGAGATGGACTTGAGCTGTAAAAAACAATCCTGTATCTGAATCCAAATTCCAGCAAAGTTAAAACTGGGATTCCAGTTCAGATCATTATTGGTAGGGATAACGAGAAGTCACGGAATTTTGTTTGTGACCCAAAGTTTTCCTAATTTGAGGGATGGGCAGAGGCAACGGTTCAGAGTCTTCTATAATTATTAACTCAAGTCTTGTGATAAAGCTGGGATGTATTCTAGGTAAATTTTTTCCAGATGGGCAAACTGGGGTATAAGGACAGGAAGGGAATTTGACAAATTCACTCAGCAGTTCATTGACAGAGATGGGAATGGAACCCAGGAATCCAGAATCTGATCCCTTGCTCTCCCCAGTAAGCATAACAGCCTCCAAATGGTAAGCAATTCCTGCTTTACCTTCAAAATTGATACCAAAGGAGACAATTATACAAAGAAATGGCTCCTTCAACAAATTACAGTGAGAGAGGTGCATAACTACAAGATAGCAAAGAGTCACTAATTAAAATTTGGCAGAGCACTGAATGAGCTGGAAAGTGTTGCCCACAAAGACTTATCACTTTGAATTCAGTGAAAAATGTACCACTTCCCCTGTGTTGCCCACAAAGACTTATCACTTTGAATTCATTAAAAAATGTACCCCTTTCCCCGCCAGTGCTTGTTTTACAGAAGTAACTATGCAAACATATTTTAAAATAGTAATAGTAATTAATAAAAGTTGGCTAAGCTGCTTCATAGGATATTCAAAAAAATAAGCTCTGCACATGCACCATCAATTTCATCCCTGTGGCATTGCTGAGCATGGTTGGTATTAAGATTTGGAGCTATTTTACATAAATAGGATGACAGCTCCACACAGTTGGTGGTGTTTTTATTGCCAATTTAACTGGTGTTAAATTAGTGGGTATTTAAGTGTCACTAAAACAATTTAGGGTCCAATTCACAAAAGTAGCGACTCTAGTAATATTTTAATATAAATGAAAAATTGCACTTTAGAGTACTGCTCAATT